GACATGAACTGAGACCCAAGCATAACCTTCTCCAATGGCCCAAGCACCAAGCTGGCAATTAACAAGTTTGGGGGTGTGCTAGGCTTTTGCATCCACACGGTTGCCCTTCTCGACCTTGTTCTTTGAACCCTTTGCCATTGTGATGTGTCCATCTCACTAAGGCCCACAGCGGCCAGTGCCAAACAATCAGCTGCAGTTGCAACCAAATCAAGCCCATCCTCACAAAACATTTAAAATACCCTTCATTGCCGTTGGTATGAGAAAAGGAATATGGAGATGAGCGCTTGCCCACCTTCTTCTCACCAAAAGTCATCCGCCTCAGCGACCAGTTCATTACTGCAACTAGTTTCAGTTTCATTAAGTTTTTTTTGAGAAACCTTGAGTCTTGAACAGGTTAACAAGCTCAGGCCAATTCCAGGATTGTCCAAAGAGATCATGCATACAAATTCCCAGCCTTTGCACACACAAATAGGTTGACTATGCACATCAGTTATGCAGCAAGATCTGACATTGTAGATAGAATCTATGGATCTGACATGTAGAATCGGATAGCATCGCCGCAAGCAGTCCATCGGGAAATCACAGGAATCACAGGCTTGTGGTGAAACCTGACTGCTGTAAGGCTCATTGCCATCAACAAACAGAAAGCTTGAGCTCGACACACCACTTCCAGAATGGCCAACCATGTTTTGTGGCCTCAAGCTCCAGCATGTCTTGAATCTTGCAAGGCTAAACCAAGCTAAGACCTGCACGGGCCATGTTCTGGTTTGGACAACATCCAAGACGACAGTGATGCACTATTCGCAGTGACTTCCAGTCCTCATATGGATGTTAGCTAGTTGTGAGTTGTGAAATAGGACTTGGACACATAGGACCTAGGACCAAGTTTGTCACTTGACATGGTTGGCTGAGGCCGCTTCTCCATTACACATCGTCAGGAGCATCTCAAGCGATTGTGCTGACGGGCCACTCAATTCGCCACTCTCTTGATATTTTGCACCTTGCAAATCAAATATATCAAATGAGCAAACTTGGAATGCGTGATAGTCTCCAGACTCTAGACTCTAGTCACTCTAGTCGCAACTCAATACCACTCCAGGCCCAGAACTTCTACGAACTGCTTCCCGGAGAATGCTTGCATTCCTTGTCATATCGGAAGGGTTCGGCCTTACTATCATCTTGTGTGAGTAACAAAAAAGAGTATTCAATTGAAGAGTCAAGAGTTTGCAGCATTGGACACTTGAAACATGTTAGAATCTTAAAAGCTCAGTATGTGGCGGGTCATACACAATGTCCATTCTGTTCACAACTGCCCGGGCATGAATGAGCAAGTCAACGAAAAGGCTTCCCTGCGCAAACAACGACGACAATCCCCACCTTGGGTAAAGTCATCGAAAAGGATGTTGCGTCATTATCAAACAGAAAAACTAATTTGGCATCTGAGAGTCACACATTGGCGCAAGGTCCCCCAAAGTTTTGAGAGCTACTTCAGAGCAATGGTTGATTTCATGCCTAGCCGCTAGGCCAATTAACTGCCAAGCCCAAAGATCCAAAGAACTAAACTTGCCATGCAAAATGGTGCACTACTCAAGGCCCTCACAGCATGCAAGGCTGCCTGGAAACCTAAAGGAAGATTGAATTCGAGTCAATTCTCAAGTCTTAAGGTAAGTGTGAGTTTGACTGTAATAGCAACACAACATAGTTTAAGTTTAAGTCTAGGTCCTAGGTCTTACCTTTGCCAAGCGCTTGCCAAAACCTACACTGTGATTGTCACAATAAGTTCACGACCAACACATTTGGCGGTGCTTGCTGGCAACCAACGTTGTTCACCAAGGCCACATTTGAGCTTGCTGAATCACAAACAAATGTCATCACCTCTAGGTTGCATGATCCAGCGAAGCCTGAGGAAGGTAAAGCAGTCAAACTATTCAATGAATGTCCACGTCACCCTCAAACTCGAAAAAGAAAAACACTCAAGACTCAAGACAGACATCCAACTGGCTGATAGGGTCTACTGGCTGCTTTGCTGCCAGCCCGTTCCACAAAGACCTTGCAGTTTTGCGATGCAATATGGCAGGAGGATTGGTGACCTCGAATGTGCAGTAGTTTGCTACAACAACTTGCAACTAGTAGTAGCAGACTACACCAGCTGCAAACTGTAGTCTGAGTTTGAGGTCTGGACTACCAACCGTTGTACTCGCTCATCTCCCTTTGCTACAAGGACAGTTGTCCTCGACACCTGTCAGGTAGAAAACATCTATTGTAAATTTGAGACTTGGTTCTCCTATGTTCTCCGCTACCTTTGCTAGTTACTAACATCTAACATCTTTGAAATTGAAATCAATCGGTGCGCCAACACCATGCACAAGCACAGCCAACCCCGCCAACACTGCCATGCTAGTGGTGGTTCTGAAAAGATCATGCCGCAATTGCATTTTCTGAGCAGTCTCGTCGAACTCAATGTGGTAGCCAATGACATCAGGCCGGCCCTGTCAATGAACTCTTGACATCACTTGCAGTTAACATCAACATATCATATCATAAAATATTCGATTAAGTTGTCAGATCCAATTTGATCCAAGAAGAACAGTTCATAGCACACAACAAAATGACAATAGAATCGCATGGCAAGCCTCCTGCGGTTGATCAAGGATCCTGCTAACCACGTTCGCCTGGTGGTTCAAGTAGACCATGCAGACTGCAGATCGAGCCTTGAACGACGCTCGATTGACTTGTGTGACTTGCTGTCGCAGCTGTTCAATCCTGATTCACAAGTGGTGAACCCTTTCTTTGCCTCGGCCACTGTCCTTGGACTAGCTCCCATCCAGTAGGCAATGGAGTTCAAGGAAAACCTGAAGAAGCAAGTTGAGGAAGGGTATTGACTTTGATGGAGCGTGTTAAGGACATCAGCCACAACCTTTGAGGCAAAAGGCATGATAGGCGACTTGGCCTTCAATCGTGGCAACTTACCCTTTCGCTTTGCGCTCGAGGATTGGGCCAACATAGATGCAACTGATCTTCCGAGCCTCACATGGAGTCAAGTCTAATGCTTAATGCTAATGTTTAGTTTAGTCTAGTCAAGTTTAGTCAGGTGTGTAGCCATCAAGCGGAAAACATCTTCTGAGTGTTTACCCAAATCTGAGTCAGTCAAACGGTTAAACTTGTGAATCAAACCATTCAGCCAAGGCATAACAAGCTATACTATACTACTAAATAGTATATTCTACAATACGATATACTATTTTATATACTATATACTATATGTGTGTGTGGGCCATAGCTCATCTATTTTGTTTAAGTCTAAGTCTAAGTCTAAGTTTACATCTGAGCTTCCAACGCCACCCTCAAGATGGCTGCGGCCGTCCAAGCACGAGACTGTCCTCGCAAAAGTGTTTCTTTGGGCAACAGCTTTGACAGAGTTGAAAGTCCAATGTTTCTGGATGCATTTAGTCAGTTGTCAGATACAGATACATACATGATACAAAAAGGCGCTTGCCTTTCCCTCGAATCTTCTTTGGTTCAAGCTTGTCGTTGACGTCAATCTCAATAAGGTCGCTTTGCCGAACAGCGTGCTCTTTGTTGATCTTGAGTATTTGCGCCCTGCCACCCACACACACTAGATCACCCCCAGCACGAAGAAAGAAGTGATCACACAATGTGAAGCAGGTTGTTTAGTCTTCCTAAAGTCTTCCTAGAATCCCAAAGACACTACAAATCCAACTGACGAACTCAAGTCGAGTCGTTTAGAGTCTGTCTAGAGTTTAAGTTTAGAAGTAGTTTAAAGTTTAGAGTCTGGAGCCTAGAGTTTAGGTGAATTAGAGTACTAAGCCATACTCTGTCATCAAGGTTGAATGTTAACATTCATAGATCAAGCCTCGCCTGACCTTGCTGAAACGCTGCTCAAACTTCTTGTGGATGTTGTGCTTTGCTTTACCTGCACACAGCGTTGAAATGCACTTGAGCAAATCAATAGATTTTTCCACCCTTTGAGTCCAAGAGTCTTGGAATTTAGATTCCTAGCTCTTTGTCTTTGATTCGATTAGTATGAAGTATGATGTGTATGTATGAGACAGGAACCCACAACCAGCGGCATGACTCAACCCCAGTCCGCTTCCCCTCAGTGTTTCTTTTCAGACAGATGCTTTCAGCGCCTGCTCTTGCCAATGCCATACGGCTAGCCCTTGCATGCTGCAGCAGACCCCGAGCCAACACAAGCGCCAGCTGCTGGTTGCGAGCCATTTGCTCCCCCAATCCATTCGGAGCAAGCACCCTGTTTGGATTCAATGTATCATCTTGATTTTTCTTGGATGCAAATGGCAAATAACAAAACTAAAATGATTTCTGTACATGTTTCAACCGTCTCATCTCTTGCGGGAAGTTGCTTTTGAAATAAGCCATACTAGATCACTCGGTGTCTCTTGAGGTTACCAAAAGCAAAGTGGCTTGGGGTTCTACACGGCCAGCCATTGTCATTGCATTTTGACTCTTCTCTTCACAAAAAGCAAAAACCCGTCCAAAGTGAGTCCAGCGTTCAATTAAGTGAACTAAGTGAAGTCAATGAGTCAATGCAAGTATCACTCCTTGAGTGAACCCATTGCAGTTTCTGCTTTGTGTTAAGTCTATTTGAACCAAACCCACACATCCAACACACCAATGCACCCCACGTACCCAGCGCACCGCACCCATCGCACCGCACCTATGGCACCGCACCCATCGCACCGCACCCACGTACCCATCGCACCGCACCCACGTACCCATCGCACCGCACCCACGTACCCATCGCACCGCACCCACGTACCAGAGCAACGCACCCATGGAAAGCATGTGTTCGTACCCAACGTGAAGCATCAATAGAAACCATGGTTTTCATATCTTTTGAAAATAGCTAATACATACCCCAACCTTTGGCAATGCTTTGGTGTGGTACTCAATCATGGCAATGATTGTCAGGCCATTGGTGAGTGTGCCAACCCCTCTGCATAACGCTCGGTTCAAGATTCATCTGGCAACTGCCTGCCCAAGTACATCTTGAAAAGAAGATCCATCGCCAACAGCCACTGTGCACCTAGTTGCACATTTGACATACACAGAAGCAAGCCTCTTCCTCACACACCTTTGTGAAGTGCAATCTGGGCCTTTTTCACAGGCTGCAACCGTAGCATTGTAGGTGATCAAGTCGGGTGTGAGGTTCAGGTCTGGTAGCCTGCGCCGGCTGATCCATTGTGGTCCGTCACCCAGGTGTTGTGTTTCCTTCCCCTTGCTTTTCCCCAAACAGTGTGAACACACTAAGAGGTTCTTACGGTAGTAGAAAAGCAGCTGATGCTTCGATCGCTGAAGCGCGCGGCCGTGTCCGGCTAATCCACGGCTATTTACAATACATTCATGCCTCTCGAGATCGTCGACGTGCATTTCGACTGCGCAGGCTCGCTGAATCTGGGTGTCTGCGGCGGGTGCTTCTAACGACTGCGCTCTCGTTGTGGTGCCGTGCGCATTTTCGCACATGGTGGTGACTTTTCGTGGCAGGCGCAAGAGAAACCTCGTGTTTTCGTGGTTGAAAGCCGACTTTTCGTGACAGGTGCAAGGGATCGGAGCTTCTTTACTTCGAACTGCAGTTTTCGTGGCAGGTGCAGCACTTTGGACATGGTGGTGATCTTCGACGAGCCCTGACTTCGTGACAGGTGCAGTGAATCGTTGCTTTTCGACATGTGGCTCGTTTCCAGATTTCGTGGCAGGTACAGCACTTTGTGAACCTCGATGTGCAGAATTTGTGGCAGGCACAGCACTTTGTGAATCTCGACCTGCAGATTTTGTGGCAGGTACAGCACTTTGTGAACCTCGACGCGCAGAGTTCTTGACAGGCGAAGCACTTTGTGAACCTCAATGTGCAGATTTCGGGGAAGGCACAGCACTTTGAATCTCGACGCGCAGACTTCGCGGCAGGTACAGCACTTTGTGAACCTCGACGCGCAGAGTTCTTGACAGGCGAAGCACTTTGTGAACCTCAATGTGCAAATTTCGGGAAAGGCGCAGCACTTTGAATCTCGACGTGCAGACTTCGTGGCAGGCACAGCACTTTGTGAACCTTGACGTGCAGAGTTCGTGACAGGAACAGCACTTTGTGAACCTCGAAGTGCAGATTTTGTGACAGGCGCAGCACATTGTGAACCTCGAAGTGCAGATTTCGTGGCAGGCGCAGTTATTTGTGAACCTCGAAGTGCAGATTTCGGCGCAGGCGAAGCACTTTGTGCTCTCAGATGCTCACTCTCTCACACACGCTCACACTCACACACTCCACACTCACACTCACTCTCACTCACCCACTCTCCCACTCTCACTCTCACTCACTCTCCCACTCTCACTCTCACTCTCCCTCTCACTCTCACTCACACTCACTCACCACCACCGTCACCACGATCCCCACCTTCATCACCACCATCACCTCTCTGGACCTCAATGCGTCTAGATCTCTAGACTTTCTGCTTATAGACCTCACACACACCTGTTTGGGGTCTCTTGCCGGGATAAGTGTTTTCTTCCATCAGTGATGCATTTGCATCTTGTTCTTAGAGTTTTGGAAGATGACCCTGTCTCCTTTTCTTCTTTCTTTCAGGAATCTAGAGTATCTTTCTTTTTCTTTGAGATGGTTCAATCTTCTGAAACAACCAAAGGTTCAATGGTTGGGAAATTTGCTGGGAACACCTGCACAAGTCAAATATGTTATGCAAGAGGAGGAGCACAGCGATTCTTGAACGATCAGCTTAACAAGTTCATAAGACAAACTCCAAGATTGCACTCAGGCTACTAGGGTTCTTGGGCTAAGCCACCCAGGCAAGAGAAGCCGCCCGGCTTGCATTGAAATCCGTCCAGCAGCATTAGAGAGAATTCCCCCGGCTTGACAACGTTTATGTTGGTATCCATCGGGACCAAAACCCAACGAGAATGTTTACTGCTTTGTGGGTTGCATCCCTCCAAACACAAACACAGAATGCCGAGCCTGGGCTGGGCTGAGGGACGAGGCACGACACGTGTCACTGCAACGCTCGGACAAACATAACTTTTGAAACCATGGTTACGCTGGTGCAAGTGCAGCGCGGGTACCAGGTACCCATGCCTGGTCTCCTCCTGGTCTTACTTAAGCTAGCGTACTCCACTCCAACATTCTCGAAGCAAACACCATAACCCTTGGTGTTTGCCTGGTGTCGGGAGGTACAACCTATGTCGGAGGCTGCACTTGCTCTGTTGCCACTCTCACCTGTCCTCACCTCAGTCCGCTGCAAAAGACCTTCTTGCTGATGCAATTCATGCACTGACCCATTCACCTTGCATCTTCTGCATCACAAACCTACAAAAAACTCTAATCCTTGGCAAAGGACAAAAACACCAGCAGGCTAACGCGGCTTACATGCACTTTACCCAACCTTCCCCCCAGACCTCCTCACTTCATTCGCAGAAAATAACTTCATCCTAGCCTATCGGCTGCCTTTGGTGATTGTCCTCGATGCAATCCCTATCATGGCGTTGAGTTGATGCTGCAGTGAAAAAGATTGTCCTCCAGTTTTATTACCATCTTGCATCTAGCACGCATTGAAAATGCAGCATCCAAACAACCAAACGTCTTGTGCTGACATTAACAAGTCATCAAAAGTTATGCAGAAAATGCTTGTCATACAGGCACGCACCGTCTGCACCAGTCTACTCTTCAAAACCAAACCCACTTTCACGGAGGCATGTCAAAACAGCGCGAGAGTCTCGCACGCCTTCCAAAGATTTGCATCGCGTGCTCCCATTGCCAGCCTTTCTCACATGCACTGATGGCGGCATTGAAGCTCACAAGGTTGGGCTCTGCCGAGGCCTAACACGACAGCCGCACGAATCCCAGTCTCAAGACCGGGCGCTAGGCGCTGGGTGTATCTTAAGAAAAGTGAGTATACAAACGTTACATACACGCCTACGCATGTACCCACCAACCTACCTACCTACCTACAAACAAACAAACAAACATGAATACAATACAATACCATACCACACCATAACACAGCACAATATAACATTTTACATCGATGCATGCATGCATACCAAAACATACATAAGTTACTCAGCATTACTTTGCATTACATTAATCCATACATAAAAAACGAACACACATACAAACATACATACACTACATTACATCAATACATACACTATATACATACATCACATTATATTGCATTGCATTTCACGGAAGTGCATTGCATTGCATGACATCACATCACGTCACATTACATTACCTTACATCACAGCACATACATCACAAACAATACAAAACAATACCATGCAATACAATATATACATACCATAGCAATACATTATAGTCACGGACATAGGCTTAGAACATTATATTTTTCCAAAAATCAAAACCCTGCACTTAGAACATGGTCAAAACCCAACTCTTAGAACATTATTTCAATGTTCTAAGTGTCTTGGGCGATTTTTGGAAAACGCTACACTTAGAACATTTTAGGGGAACGTTCGTAAGCCTATGTCCGTCACTCTATATAGAGACACTACTGTAGGAATGCAATTATATTGCTCTCACTCTCTGGCCAAAAGGGTTGCTGTATTTCCTCGCTTGCGCTGCACTCCGTCTCCTTGACACTGGCCAAGATCATTAGCTATACAGTAGAGCTATACATACAAAATAGCTATAGGCCAGAGCAGTGATGGCATGGCCGCAAAAGTTCAAAATTATCGCTCTTCTTCACGTGACGGCAGCCAGCCAAGTGATACACATGGCTTCCTTTGAACTTGTAGATAGTCGCATTGCTCTCGACCTTTTGGCGCGTAGGTGTCTCGGTCTGTTTGCTTCCTTTTGCCCTGACAAATAGCACTGCCACACTGATTGCCAGAACCAAGTTTAGCATCAATGACACGGCCAGCAAAGCAAGAATCGCGTCTCCCAACATGGCTGCAAGACAGCTTTCCCCTCTTGCACAATCCCACACTTAGACTAACTTTCTCTCTGGCCACTAGCGGTGGCTCCCTAGCCCCCCCCCAATGTGCTGCTGTTTCTGCTTCTGCAGAAGCAGCGCTGTAGAGCGCTGCAGAGGCAGCGCTGTGCGCCTGGACGGCCAGGCAAAAAAAAAACAGGACAGAAGCAAGCGCGGCGCCGCAAGTTTGGTTTCAGAGATGTGGTCTGGTATGGTAAGGTGCATGGTCGGGTATGGGATGGCTCGGGTAACATCCCCCTCAACGATCTATGTATATATAGATATATTTTTCTTTGTAAAGGCAACATGGAGGGCGCATGCCGAAAGGCCACCACCAGGCAGCACCAAAACTTGTTTCTACGAAGTTATAGTGCTCCCAAAAAAACATCCCACAAAGCTCCGGGGATCTTTGCTGCGAACAAGACGAACATACCCAGGAAGGGCCATGTGCAAAAACCTCTTCTACTAAATTCGTTGCAGCCCAAGGGCATTCATAGAACCTTGCCCCACTCGCGGACCATTCGCGGAACGGTGGACCCCGAGGAAACCTTCCCGTGCACCTACAATCAAAGACAAATCACATCATTCCCAAACCCTGGCACTTTTCTTCTTTCTCTCAACAGCCGGCTTCTTCGAACTCAAGGAGCTCCTGCATCGATGGCAAGACAAGCCGTGGAACCGTTCCAGCAATCACCTTCTGCGCAACGTCGCGTAGATCGTGCGGGTTCGGTCCTGACGCTTGTTCAACCCATGTTCGCAAACATTGTCGTCACATTGGAGCTGTAAGTGATGAGCTTTGCCCCTGGTGTTTTCTCCAAACAATTAACCGTTGGGGCCCGGGCACTCAAGAGACAGGCCTGCGCAAGAAGGACAACAGAAGGACAAAAAACAGCGCAACAACAATGGGACCAGAAGGGAAACAGACAGACAAAGCAGAAACAACACCACAACAAGGGGACAAGAGGACACCAAGAAGACAGCAAATGACACAGGTGGACACCAAGAGGGCAACCAGAGCACAAGCAGGACAACAAAAGGGCACCAACAGGAAAAGGGCAACGCGATAAAACTGGGCCCGGGCGAGGCAAAGAGAGGTAGAGGAGCAAGAGGGCACGAACAAGACCATGACCGCAGACTTGCTTGAAGGACAAGGGGTAGGACAAGGGTTCGCCGCCACAGCTTAAAGAGACAACAAGAAGAGGGGACGCGAGCAGGACAAGAGGAGGACAACGTGCAGATACAGGCTCCTGGCGGCCTGAAGACAACAACAGAGCTGCAAGAAGACAAGCGAACAAAGAAGAGGGCCAGGAGGACACCATGACGTTGAACAAGAGCGTGGTCAGGAGAGCAAAATGAAGACGACACGTGAAACCAGTCAGAAAACAAAAGGAGGGTAGAGAACAAGAAGAGGACAACACGGCAACACAGGGCGCGCAGATACGGGGACAACAGGGACAAGAGGAAAACACGGCAGGAAGACACCAACGACAAGGAGGACAACGCCGGTTATAAAGGATTACTAAGAAGATTGCAAGATTGCAAACCAGAAGGTGGTTACATGCTGACACAGTCTTTTTGTCCAACAAGCCTTTCGGACTCTGTTCCTAAACCTAGTAATATCATGTATTAATGTCGAAGTTCCAGACCTTGGGGCAGTCAGCCTTTTCAACAAACCTTTACGATCTTGATCCAACAAAATAAAGAAGGTTCAACAACCATCCACATATGTGCGCCCTTTCCGGGGCAAACGCCAAATTACTTGGAAATTCTCCTTTCAAAAGAGTCTGAGGTATCTTGAACATTGAATGAACTTTTTGACAGCAAAAGGACCTGCAGTCCTGAACTGGAAGTTCTCGCTCGTGAGGCCGCAAAGGCCGACGTGCGGATCTGGAAGGCCAAAGCGCAGGGGCCAAAGCCTTTAACCGCCAGCGGCGCGTCTGCTCCAAGCGCGAGGCGGCTCGGAGTGTGCTTGCCTGGGCTCTGCGTTCGATAGAGCCCCCAAACGAAAACAACTCTGCCAAGAAGCAGAAAATAGGAAAGTGATTATCCAAGATCTTTGGCAAGGTGCTTCCGGTAAAATCTCCGAAATAGACCGAGCCAGGTCCGAGGTGAAGGTCCACGTCAGCTTCCGATGGCGCAGCGTTGTGAATGGCCACCTGGATGGAATGGAGGTAGCCGTACTGGAAACAAGCTGGAAGCTTTATTAGCGGGTCACTTCTCAACCATGTCTTGGAAAACACACCATTTTGAACACACACACTGCCTTCCTGCGCCCGCTAAGAGTAACAGAAAGATGGAATATGCTGGCCCCTCCGTCGTAGTGGCACGGTTCGGCAACATCACCATCGCCCCGACGCAATTGCATGGTCGCATATGCGCAAAGCCAGCGCCGCCAGTCCTCTTTCACGAAGTGCTCTTTGTTCGCGGAATCTGCTAGGGTGGAGATGCCCCGGCGAAGATTCCGCTGCATGTTTGCAAAATGCGCGTCATTCACAACCTTAAAGGCGCCGACCCAAGCCCTGAGCCTATTGAGAGGCAAAAGACCGGAGACCCTGTCCCCATTGAGCGTGCCATTCTGCGGGCTTTCCCCCAAGGCAAAGACCAGCTCGACTTTGTCGGAACCCTCCTTGCGGAGGGTCCCGGCAAAGTCTTTGAGGTTGAAGTTGTCGAGCGAGGGGTCTTGAAGAAGCCAGTCGAGAACATCCGGGGTCAAGCACTGCGACCTCAAAACTGTTAAGCCTCTGCCGCCTTGAACTTTGAGCAACTGCGGCATACCACCTTCGTCCATTTCAACCGGAGACACACGGCTTTTGCAAGTCGCCGACAAACGGCACTTCGTGTACGAGTCGGCCGTGTTGAAGTAGACTGCATGGGGCCAGGTGAGCAAAATGCCACCATTGACCTCTTGAGCTGATGCCTTCCCACGGCTCAAAATTTAGCACGCTTCCGCAAGAGGCATGTCAGAGTCAACTAGTGAAACCCGGAAGCAAGAGCCGATGTGGTCACGCTTGCGCTTCTTGGCCGGCGGTGCAACTTGATCTTGCGGCTGTGGCGCCACTAGATCTTGCGGCTGGGGGGCTTTTTCGCCCCCGGCTGCTAAGAAGATAGCTTCGGCAGACCACCTCGAGGACGGACTCAAGGCCATCATCCCCATCAAGACTTCGATCAACTCCCCTGGGCCTCAAATATTGGCCAGGAACCCACCGTAGGCCCTTAAAAGACTGTGAACGACAAAGGCACGCTTTAGGTTCACAAGCCGAAACCAAAGACTTCCGCTCTCTTTCGAAATCCCTAAGACCAAACAAATTTCTCAGGTAAGGTTTCGGAAAGATCATATCAAGCTGTTCATGTCCTCTGCCCCAACTAATTAAACTCAACTTGGAGGACTTTTTCTGCAATCCTAAAGCGAAACGAAACGAGCGAAGCCAAAGGAGTACATCTGATCGAGGAAGCTTTGGGGAATGGAGCCAAGAGTGCCCTAGAATGCCCCCAAACAAACAAAGGTTTTGTCACTGTCATTCACAGTAGGTCTCGATCAAAGGTCTTTGAAAATGTACCCTGCAGTGTCGAAATGAACCTTCAATTGAAAAGGCAGCAGGTTGGGCGAACAGCTTGAAGGAACACAAGGCCAAGCCCCAACAAAGACTACATACGGCATAGTTGGCCGAAGGTGCCTGTATAGGAAAGCCGAAAGAAACCGTATATAATATAGAAATTCCACAAAAGTACTATACAACTAGGGTCCGGTAAACACAGTCACCTTGTGAACGGCTTTTATAAGAAACCTTCGGAGATGGATGGTAGTGGCGTTTACATCCCAGCAACCACACTCCTGCTCCCTGCTCGGCTACCTCTTTGCAGTGCCTTGACCAGACCCAGCCAA